ATGCACTTCTGGGGTACAGTGTGGGGTTTTCACATGCAATCCGAAATACTTCCATCAAACTGGTCAACACAGCCTTCATGTCATTTTCTCAGTTATTGTTTTAAAACATTCACATTCTACTCTTAGAAAGATAAATTGATATACTTTAAAAAGATATACTTTTTAATACTGAGCATCATGACAATATCTAAAAATTGAAAAACTGCCTATCTCTTGGCCTAGCAGTTCTTTAAGAGTCTGTGTCATAGGCTGGGCGCAGTGACTCACGCCTGTATCCCAGCACTCTGGGAGGCTGAGGTGGGTAGATAGCCTGAGCTCATAGATTTGAGACCAGCCTGAGCCAGAGTGAGACTTCACCTCTAAAAATAGTCAGGTGTTGTGCCGGGTGCCTATAGTCCCAGCTGCTCAGGAGGCTGAGGCAAAAGAATCACTTGAGCTCAAGAGTTTGAGGTTGCTGTGAGTTTTCTACCTGAGTAAGAGTGAGACCGAAACACCAAATATCTATGGTACTCAACCGGGGGCAACAAAATGAGACTGTCTCAAAAAAAAAAAAGTCTGTTTTATAAATACATTCACACTGATCTGAAATGACTTGTTTAATGACACATCTGTATCATTTTCCCCTTTTGAGGTATAATTTACATCCGTAAAAGTCACTTATTTTATTTTTCAGCAGCCCTGTTCTAGAAATAATTCACTTATTTTAAGTGTACAGCTTGATGAGTTTTGGTGGTTGCATACAATTATTTGCAAAAATCACATGGTCAATATAGAGAAAATTTCTGTCTCTGTAGAATGTCTAATCTGTGGCCTCTGGCCCCCAGCAACCACTAATGTGTAATGTGCATTCTCTAAAGTTGTGTGTGTTTAATTATGGGTTTTTTAATTGTAGTTAAATATACATAACAGGCAGTGCCCAAAGTTCAGTGGGTAGGGCACTGGCCGCATACACCAAGGCTGGCAGGTTTGAGTCCAGCCCAGGTCAACTAAACAACTGTACCCCCCCAAATATATATATGTATGTATATATACCATAAAATTTACCTTATTAACCTTTTTTTTTTCCTTTTTGAGACAGAGTCTTTCTCTGTTACACTGGGTAGAGTGCTGTGGCATCATAGCTCACAGCAACCTCAAACTCTTGGGCTTGAGTAGTCCTCTTGCCTCAGCCTCTGGAGAAGCTGTGATAGTAGGCCTGTGCACTACCTCCAGATAGTTCTATTTTTTGTAGAAATGGGGTCTTGCTCTTGCTCAGGCTGGTCTTGAATTCCTGAAGTCAAGCAATCCACCTACCTCGGCCTCCCAGAGTGCTAGGATTATAGGCCTGAGCCAGTAAGCCTGGCTCATTTTAATCATTGTTAATTAACTGTCACTATAATTTTATCTTTTTTTTTTTTTTTTTTGAGACACGGTCTTACTCTATTGCCCTGGGTAGAATGCTATAGTACCATAGCTCACAGCATCCTCAAACTCCTGGGCTCAAGCGATCCTCATGCTTCAGTTTTCTTAGTAGCTGGGACTATAGGTACTCGCCACAGTACCTGGCTATCCAGGCTATCTTTTTTTTTTTTTTTGAGACAGTCTCATTATGTCACCTTCGGTAGAGTGCTATGGCGTCATAGCTCACAGCAACCTCAAACTCTTGGACTTAAGCAATTCTCTTGGCTTAGCCTCCCAAGTAGCTGGGACTACAGGCGCCCACCACAATACCTGGGTATTTTTGTTTGTTTGTTTGTTTGTTTGTTTTGCAGTTTTTGGCCCGGTCTGTTTTTGAACCCACCACCTCTGGCATATAGGGCTGGCGCCCTGCCCCTTGAGCCACAGGTGCCACCCAGGCGCCCCCCTTTTGTTGTTATTGATGTTGTTATTGTTGTTTAGCAGGCCCCGGGTCAGGTTCAAACCCGCCAATTTCAGTGTATGTGGCTGGCACCCTAGCAGCTGAGCTATAAGCACTGAGCTTTTTTTTTTTTTTTTTTTTTAAACAGGTCTCAGGCAGCACCTTTGTTTTAGTGAGTAGGGCGCTGGCACCATATACTGAGGGTTGTGGATCCAAACCCGGCCCCAGCCAAACTGCAACAAAAAAATAGCTGGGCGCTGTGGCGGGCACCTGTAGTCTCAGCTACTTGGGAGGCTCAGACAAGAGCATCACCTAAGGCAGCAGTTCTCAACCTGTGGGTTGTAACCCCTTTGTAACAATGAAAATACATTCTGCATATCAGATATTAACATTATGATTCATAACAGTAGCAAAATTAAAGTTATGAAATAGCAACGAAAATAATTTTATGGTTGGGGATCACCACAACATGAGAAACTATTAAAGGTTGCAGCATTAGGAAGCATGAGGAAGGTTGAGAACCACTGGCAAGAACTGGAGGTTGCTCTGAGCTGGGATGGAACGGCTCTCTACCGAGGGTGACAAACTAAGACTCTGTCTCTTTAAAAAAAAAGACAGGTCTCGCTCTTTCTCAGGCTGGTCTCAAACTCCTGAGCTCAGGCATTCCACCTTCCTTGGCTTCCCAAAGTGCTGTGATTATAGGCATGAGCCACTGCTTTTGGTGTTGGGGTCTTACTCTTGCTCAAGTTGGTCTCAAACTTGTGAGCTCAAGCAGTCCTCCTGTCTCAGTCTTCCAGAGTGCTAGGATTATAGGCATGAGCGACTGTGTTTGGCCTCTTTCTGTTTTCTTACTTTGGATTTAATTTGCTAATTTTCTCATTTCTTAAGGTAGCAACTTAGATAATTGCTGTTAATAAATAACTGTTAATGTTACTTTAAGCTTTTAGTGGCATTGCTCAAATTTTAATCTATTTTATTTTCATTATCATTTAGTTGAAAATGATTCCTAGTTTTCCTTAATGATTTTCTTTGATCCCATGTATTATTTAGAAGTATGTTGTTTAATTTCCAAAGATAATTTGTGTTTCTTAGCTATCTTATTGTCAGTTTTTAATTTCATGTTCTTCCTATGTGAACAGCATTTTGTATCATGTTAATATTGTAAATTTACTGTCTCATGGTTTATGGCCCACCATATGATCTTTCTTGGTGAAGGTACCATATATACTTGGGAAAAAAGTGTGTTTGGCAGTAGTTGAGTGTGGCATTCTGTAAATATCAGTCAGGTCAAGATTGTTCACATTTTCTTTGCTGATTTTTTTCTAGTTTATTTATTTATTTATGTGAAACAGAGTCTGACTTGGTCACCCTCTGTAGAGTGCTGTGGCATCTTAGTTCACAGCAACCTCAAACTCTTGGGTTCAAGCAATCTTTTTGCCTCAGCCTCCCAAGTAGCTGGGATTATAGGTGTGAGCCACCATGCCCAGCTTTGTCTACTTGTTGTATCATTTGTATAACGTGATTTTATTAGCAAAAGATTGGTGATAAGGTAAATGCCCATCCAGGTAGGCTAGTTAAAATAAATTGTAGCATATGCAATGTTCAAAATAATGAGGACTGATGGAATAATCTATGGCATATTTATGTAATGGATTACTCTGCAGGTATAAAACAGGATGGGAAGTAAGGAAATTTTTAATTTATTGTTATAGGAAATAATCTTTAACATTGTAAAGTGAAAAAAATGAGGTGCTGATGATTTTATAATATGGTATTTGGCTTAGAGATAGTTAGTAGATAGAGTGAATGTGTTAATATGTATGGTATATTGCTGAAAAGCTGAAAAGAGATAAGAAAGATCTTTTAATAGGGGTTGCTTCTGGGGAGTTTTTGGGGTTTTTTTTTTTTTTGAGACAGAGCCTCAACCTGTTGCCCTGGGTAGAGTGCTCTGTCATCACAGCTCATAGCAACCTCCAGCTCCTTGGCGCAAGCGATTCTCCTGCCTCTGCCTCCCAAGTAGCTGGGACTACAGGCGCCCGCGACAATGCC